GCAGTTAAAATGCTAGGGGACACTGTCAACCTGACTCCAAGACTTATTTTATTTTGTTTTTATTTTCCCTTCACAATTCATAAAAAATAAGTTGAAATGTAATAATGACGCAGATATGAGTGCAGCAATTTTTAAACTTAAACTGGAGTGGGAATTTTAAAAATTGAAAAGATCACATCATCTTCCTCTGAGAAGAAGGAATTCAAATTAGGTGTGGTAATTCTTGATAAGAAATAGATTTAAATAGATAGATGAGAGAAGTGTATGGATATTACACTTGATACATGGAAAACAATTCATGTACTTTCTGTAGAAAAATAGGAAAATTTGTTAACCTATTGAGGTACAAAAATCCAGAAAATAGACAGGCAATTACAATATTCCTTATTACTTTTTAATACATAATCATATCAATGAAAAGCCAAATTCACAACAAAACTAGAGAAGAACAATGATAGAAGCAGATAGGTTAGTTCTCTTTAAATATATTGAAGCATTTTCAAAAGAGAAGAGATTTTGTGCATATACATTATTGTATAACAATAAAGTGGTTTAAAAATTTTATTTAAAAAACAAAGCAAAATTGCAAAACAAAATAGGAGAATAACAATAGCTTATACATTGCACAGAGTTATTGTCAAAATAATTACTCAGTGTAAAATAGAAGTCCATAAAATTTCTCCAGATGATATTAGCACTAACCTTTCTTTTGAATGAACTAAGAGAAACTAACAGTATAACTGTCTTTTATGTTTTTCCTTTTCTCTTCCTCCTTTCCTGTTTCACTCACCCTACTCCCTCATTCTTTTGAACAATTCCTTCACTAATTTGAAGCATATATAGGTAGCTGGATGCAACTGGAAACCATACTCATATGTGAAATAAATGAGAGTTACATATGTAAACACCGTATTGTCTCCCTTATTGTTAAATCCAAAATTAAAGATAAATATTGTGAAATGGGAACAAAGTGATTTTGTAACAATGCTTCAAACAAATTTCAGTAAGTTTCTCCTTCCTGAATACATTTTCATCATTGTGGAGAATATTTGCAAAGGGCTGGGGATTTAGCTTGGT